TAATAACAATGCGGAATGGTACTTCAATCACGATGTTAGGCATAATTGATCTATACCAGCCATGCACGTTTAACTAAAATCTGGTTGTCATGTGAGCACCTCGCATTCTTCTGCATACGCATACTTATAATGCGTAAATGGTGGTGATTTTATTATGGCTATGGCTTTATTAAACCGTGCTCCCACATTTCCAGCCATTGTATCCCCATTGTCAAACTTGGACCCGTTCGTGTACCGATCCCATAATCAAGGATATTGATGTCCTGTTAAGTATATACTTATTAATTTGGATACGTTCTACATCAGAATAGGTAAGGAAGGCACACCCTTCACCACTCCTAAGTCATGCTACACACAGTGTTTCCGTTTGGATAGATCCTCCTTTGCTTTTCTTTGAGAAATCTTTTTTCTTCACACTATTGAAGCATTGCACAATGGGCCAGATTCTCTTTTCTTTCCATAATGTCTAATATTATAGATAGAGAGATGAAATTTGGTTAAATAGATCATAGTAGCACTAAAAGTTTATGAGAAAATTTTCAAGTCAATCCGACCACGCCCACCCACAACGCCCATATAAGGACACATTGTTAAGGAAGAAATTTGTTGTTATTATTTGATATTTTAGTATAATCGAACTTGAATACTGATTAATTATAGGTATTTAATTAATACTACTGCATAAATCTTATTTTCTTCTTTCAAATACAAATCTTAAATATCCCAATTGTACGATCTTTGTGATTTTGTTCATATGTCTTAAAATGTAAAATATGAAGAGATAAGGCAAAAAGTGTTAATAACAAGTTTAAATTTCGACAGACAAACAGCTGAGCACACATCTAATTTCGTAAGCGCTGCAAAAATGCACCGTTGCTACTAAAATGTTTTTATTTATTGATTCGATTTATCCAATGTGTGCCCTTTCAAAATATTAAGTTAAATCAAAGACGATACAAAACCAAGATGCTGAATAAGCGACCGAAAAGCTGTTCTATGGCTGTTCGGCTATGCCTCGTCCCCGCTGCCCGACGGCTACCACTGTTCGTCATCGAGAATGTTCGAGGTGGGCACAGCTTAATAATTTATAAAGTGAATAAGAGTTCAAAAAATTATTTCTCACAGAAAAAGATTCAACTTTGAGTGCTCCGCAAAGCTCTGGAAATATTTTTTATTAGATGTGTACAATTATTTTATTCAAAGCGTTCATAAAATATTTTTGACTTTTTCCACCTCTTTCCGATTTCAGTCCACTGTACATATACACAACACAAACAAATAACAACTTTAAAACCAAAATCGAGTTGAACATCGATGTGCTGACTCATGCCCAAGCAATGTAGTTGTTTTTGCATTTTTCCGACCTATTCAGGGCCGGATCAACCCTAAACGGGACCTTAGGCAACCATCAATCTGGGGGCTCTCCTTTTTTCACGCTAGTTCCCTTCTTTTTTCATTTGAAATAAAAACTTATAACTTTTGTTTGCTTGAAAATTTTTTTATTTTTCGCAGTATCATTATTTGGAGTTTTGTTTATTCAACAAATTTTTCTGTTAAAGGCCTCTCTCCAGCACCGCCGAAAATTTGTGCCAGGAATTTACTAGGTTTTCCGTGAGGGTGTGGAATATAGCTAAAACAGGGCTGATGAATCAGCTGTGTTTTGTAAACAGAGTCAATTGTGAAATTCAACTGAAATTAAAAAAGGAACAAAAATTCACTCTTACGATCAAGTGATTGGGTTGGTGGCGGCATATATTGTTGCACAACAAAAAAAAATAATTTTCATCTCTCTTTTTGGTTTTGCGGACAGTTTTGGCCTACATCTTGCACCATTCACATAATTGTTGAACATATATTCCTGAGCTGGGTGTCAGCTGTTCTCTCAGTCCACATGCCAAAAAAACTGGCCCATTATGCATTGGTCTAATCACAGTAGTGAATAACCAGCAGATCATTTTTGTGTGTGCCTTCATTGCTTAATTTGCACACACGAGCTCACACCATGAAAAATGAGTCTCTAGGAACAGCTTGCTGGTTCCCATGGCGTGCTGGTGTAGCTTGCATCTACATGTATGCTTGCATTTAGCTTATTTGTGTTTCTTATGCCTTTGAAATACAGTCTGATCTTTCCGCTTTGGTCTTTCCATGTAGTTCGTTTCGACCTTCTCAACTCATTGTTCTATAGTGTTATATCCTATTCCCACAGGCCACCATCCATTTCGGGGATGGTCCGTAAGGATTTTCCGTTCCGAAAATTTCCCAGTTATTTCACCCTCCAACTGGGATGTTCCTAATTAGCACGTTTTTGTGAGGTATTTTTTCGATAATTGTCAAACGCAACCATAAATATTTGACAGTCACAACAAAAAATCGGAATTCAGTACGAAAATGTAAACATTGACAGACAGGCAAATGGCACAAAAACAACATCAAAACATCAGATATGTCAGAATTGTCTCAGGCAGAAAAACTCGGTTTGTGGACTGGGAATTCTTTTATGAATGCTCTGCAAAACTCATGCATTATATTGCACACGCTATGGGCTGACAGCCTTCCGACTATTCTGTACTCAGAAAAAGAGTCCAAAGTATACAGTGCTATGGCTATAGGAAACTTTCCTTAAAATACGCCTCATTGTTTTCGGGTACATCCTTCTCCCAAAATGTCCCAAAACCGCTTCTCAACAAACATAGAATATATATTTGTATTTAAAACATTGATTGGATTTAGTAGAAGCAGTCAGAAAAGACCAGTGTTTTCAAAACTGATATCCATTCCAATAAATTCTCCTCGTCAATGATTGCTTCATAATCATCATTATCCATGTCCAGCAACTTGATTAGCTTGTGCCAGAATATGTTTTGCTGCTGAATCACATTCACAACCATTGCAATGTTATTTATATTAATTTTAATTATGAATGTTTACAAATTTTCACCGCACGCAATTGTGAGCATCAGCTGTTTCTCATGGATGGTGGATGGTCTCAGTGTGAATCGGTGTTTCACATCTTTCAAAAATTCCCACCGTTCCCCCCTGATGGGCTCAATGTGCAGAGGGCATTAGCCCTTGGGTCTTTCAAAGAGTCGTTCCACCATAGGGCAACAATGACTAATCGGGCTATTTACTGTGAAGGACCCGCAAGTCGGCTACTCTGATGCCTATATTCTGGCCTTTGAGAATGTAGATCACCAGCTTTTTTTATCCCCTTTCACATCTGAGAAAATATACGGCAAAAAACACTAGTCAACACGACATTTACGCTGTGACCCAAAATGACTTTTTCTGATAGATTTCGCGATTTAAAATTGGTTAACGAATTATGGTTTTAGTTTTATGGTTTAGTTTTTTTTAAAGAATTTTAGTGATTCTATTTTTCACATAACTATTTATTTCCGAAATTTTTACTTTAAAAACTCAGGAAAATATAGTTCTTGACATGCATTTTTAGTTTTAGATACACACATTAATTAGGCGTCGTTTAAGTTATTGTTCATAATCTATGGAGAGACGGTGGAGCTAAAATTCGTTAACCAAACCTAAAACATGAAATAATAGACACAAAATGCGTGCCGAACTGCCAATTGGGAACAAAGAAAACGAAAAGGGGTTAAATTTTTGGTACCTGAACGTGTTCCTTTGGCATTGGACCAGCAACGGTATTTTTCAGGTAACATGAGTTTTGAGTCCTTTTGGTCAAACGGCTGCAACTTGGCCGTTTATCCATGAATTCTTAAAAACGACACCTTAAACGACGCCTAGTTATATCTATGCGTATATCCAAAACTAAAAATGTTTGCCAAGATATTTTTTCGACTTTTCCTGAGTTTTTAAAGTCAAAATTTCGGAAAAAAATACCGCAATAAATGATGAAAGCAAAGTTGTATGCAACCAGATATAAGATACTTAAGTTATGTGGAAAAAATAAGCACTACCTCTGAAAAAAAACATGAAAAAATACCAGATTTTAAAATTCTAAAAAAAAACTAAACCATTAAAAAAAAGAAAAAGTAATTGGTCCACAGCGGGAAAAAAAGTAGTGTCGAGTGTTCAATTTTGTCGAGTAGTGTAATTAAGTGCCCCTTATTCCATGGTTTTGGTCGAGTATGTACTCTCATCCGACGTTTACGAATAGCTGCAAATTTTCCCATCTGTCGAAAAAAACAGCTTATTTTTTATTGCTATCAGTACAATTTTATTTTGTGTTATTTATTTTGTTTATTTATTTTGTTGTGTTGTAAAACCACTTTTAGCAAAGAGTAACAGTAATACACCAAAAACGTATTATATCTACTGGGTGTATATATTCATATAATATAGAATATATTAGAAGTAGTCTATCCAAACCAAACAGCACAATTTTGAACAAATTAAAAAATGTTAAGTAATTAAGTAAATCAGCTATGGCAATTATCATTTTGACGCAGCAAGATTCAATTACTTTACTTATAAGAAAAGTCATTGAGTAACTCGAATTTTTTAATTATATTTATTTGTCAACAAAGAAGAAGTTTCGTATGTATGTTTCGTATGTATATTCAAACCCCAGCTAAAAATTATACAAATTTGCATATCATACCTACTTGTGAAGAAAAAATACTGTTGCATATACAGATACATAACTGTCTAAAATAATCAGTACAGAATGACTAATACATATATATAGGTCGATCTGTAAAGGTATTAACTGCTTCGGCCACGAAGCTAAACTTTTTGTTGCATTTTGTAATAATTTTTTATTAGTTTTCGTAAAGCTATCTAATGTTAAAAAACAGTAACTAAATTTTTGAATGAGGTTTAAATAGTTTGCATGTGTTTCCGAGTTTTTATCTACATACGTTAAATTGGCAAACTACATAAGTTTCATAAATGTATCATAATTTGGTTTTTATTGTTTTATTTATCACAAAGATCACGTTTTCTTCAAATTATTTATAATTATGTGTAAAAACAGCATTAACTCACCACATTTTCAATTTAAATCTCTTGAATTTTCTAAGGTTGACTTGAGGCATATGGATGAGCAACTGGGAAGCAACGTTGTGGATGTTGGTGTGGATTTATCCGAGTTTTATATGTCTGTTGAATGGGATATTCTCGAGGTGCCAGCTGTAAGGTAAGAAAGTGAAATAAATTAATTTTTGAAGCTTAACGGTAGTTATTAAATCAGATAAACAAAATGAGGGAGGCTCAATTTTGTGCGCTAAAATTTATATAAGCGCGAAGTTGCGGGCCAACGAATCTATATAATAACACTACTCGACAAAATCAATCCTCTTATACCCGTACTCAAAGAGTTAAGGAGTTTATTGTATTTGTTATAAAAGTGGATGCGTGTAACGCAGAGAAGGAAATGTTTCCGACCCTATATGCTTGATCAGCATCACTAGCCGAGTCGATGTAGCCATGTCTGTCTGTCCGTCTGTCCTTCTTGTTTGTCGCCTAGTTCTCAGAGACTATAAAATCTGTTTCCAGACTTATGTGATATCACACTGTTACAAGAGTATTTCTTAATTTCGACCCGCCCCCACAAAGGACGAAAATCTATGGCAGCCACAATTTGCCACAAGATACCAGAATACTAAAAATGCAGTATCGTAGAGAATAACCATATCTACCTGATTGACGAATTTAAATCAAATAATTATTATAGTCAGAATGAAGAAATAAATTTTCAGTTTCTTCCCCCACCTCCCCCACCAACTCCAACACGAGACCACGCTACTCATTAACTTTCTCGCTCGCACACTCGGCCCTAATAATATTCTTGCACAATCTAAGCATGTTGCTGGACATAGATGATGATAATAATAAGGTCAACATTGACGAGTAGAATTTATTGGAATGGATTTGATTTGAAAACCCTGAAGCGTGGTCATTTGTGCCTGCTTCTACTAAATTCAATCAATTTTTAAATACAATTATATATTCTATGTTTTTTGAGAAGCAAAAAAGAAATTCCAGTCCACAAACCTAGTTTTTCTGACTGAGACAATTCTGACATATGGGCAGTTCCTATCTGGCGTTACGTTACATTCGTACGACAAAATGTTGAAAAAGATAGTAAAAAAACTGAAATTTGGAAAAAAGATTATCCTCGTTGAATATACTTTGGTTAGACCTATATTCACAAAAAAAATGGAAATAATCGAGCGTACGGTTTTAAAGATATAAGCCAAAGTATGACCTAAAAGTGCGTTACATAAAACAGAAGGGGTTTTCGAGGTTGGGGTACAAAATGGCAAAACTCTGCGAATTGGATAGGGCTATCTGTACAACATTTTTTGTGCTAATAAATGAAGTATTGAGAGTTAATTTTCCTGTTTTTTTGTTAAAAATCCGCGGAGGCATCTGGCGAACGTTACTGGCGTTACGTTACCAAATTCCGCGATTATAAAAGCCTAAAAACATACTGTTAGCCAAGGTTTGACCAACGTTCTGATAATGGTTTAAGGTAGTTTAATATATTAGAAAGACTTTAAGTAGAAACTTTTATCAAGAATCATCTTCTTCCTAGGAGATAATAGTAAAAGAAAACATGTCTATAAAAATACCAGAAAATACCAAAAACGTGAACTTTTGCTTATTTTCATAGGTTTTAGGATGAAAGTTAATGAAATTATATGTGAATAAAGTAAATTAGTTACCTTTCAATAAATTTAGAAAAAAATATCCGGGAAAAATTATATAGAAATCGGTTTTTATTGACTTTTTATGATTTTTGGCTTGGTGGACCTTTTGGCGGAACTGCCCATATCAGATGTTAATTTGTTTTTTTTTTATTTTTTTTATTTTCCTGTTTGTCATTGTTTACATTTTCGCAGTAAATTTTTTTTTGTGAATGTCCAATATTTATGGTTACATTTGACAATTATCGAAAAAATACCACACAGAAACGTGCGAATTAGGAACATCCCAGATGGATTTATTCCACCAACTGGGAAATTTTTGGAACTCAGAACCTTACGGACCATCCCAGAAATGGATGCAGGCTATAAACTACAAATTTGAAAAAAATTGTATAATTTTATTTACTAAAAAGGAACTAAAAAGAATAGGGGTGTCTGCTTGAAACACTAAAAAAAATTGTTTTCAAATTTTGGCCCAGCCTAATGTTAACAGATTAATAAAGATGCTGCACAAGAAGATGGTTTTCAAATATGAACGGGAGCGGGTGACGGAATGGGTGTCGATCAACTGAAGATGCCGGAAACGAGAATGGAATATTCTATATTTTATACCCTCCAATTATTGGAAAAAAATTTACGTTGAACGTATTATTCGACTCACTTCTCATCTATGCAACCACAATGTTCCACAGTTATTGATGCTGATTGATAAAAAGCCTCCTTGAGGCGTTGAACAGAAATTTTCAAGACTAATAGATTGAGATCGCAACAAAAAAAGATGAACTTAAGTCCCAACTGGCATTTAAGTGATATCACACTGCAAAAAGTGTAATTCAAAATTTCGCCCCGCCTCCTTCCGCCCACACAAAGGACGAAAATCTGTGGCAGGCACAATTTTAAAGATACGATAAAGATACAGTATCGTAGAGAATGACCATATCTACCGATTGCCGAATCTTAATCAGATCAGATCATAAATAAAGCCAGAATGAAGAAATTAATTTTCAGTTGCTTCCCCCACCTCCTCCGGCACGAGAGTCGTTCAGTGCGCGACTGCCCGCTAGCAGAGAAGATGTAGAATCTAAATAGTACATGAAGAGTCTACATGTTAGACGTAGAATATACACTGTAGATGTAGATGACTTATGTAGAAAAAATTTAAAATATCAAGTTTCTAAAATTCTTCATTCTTTTTTTTTTCTACGGCAGAACTTATTTTTAAGAACTTGTATTCTTTTTTCAGAGGTAGCACTTCTTTGTTTCACATAACTTAAGTATCTTACATTTGGTTGTAACAAACTTTGCCCTTCTTAAAAGCTAATTGAAATACCGGAAAGTTAAAACGACAAAAGGTAATGGAAATAATTCGTCGAATGATCATCTAGCGTTAAAAAACGAAAAAACATTTGTATTGTATTATTATTTTAATAGATACTAGCGGACCAGCGAACTTCGTCTCGCTCCTTAAGGTAAACTTCAGAGTGATTACACTAGTCAACACGATTTTTCCTCAAGGAACAAAACGAACTTTTTCTTAAAGATTTGGGGCTTAGAAATGGTTTGATGATATTTTTTTTTTTCTATGGCAGAACTTTTTTTTAAAGAATTTTTGAAAACTGGTATTTTTTTTAAAGCTTTTTTCAGAGGTAACGCTTGTTTTTTTCACATAACTCTAGTATCTTACGTCTGGTTGTAAAGAACTTTGCTATTTTGAAAAGATAATTGACGCAGCTAGAAGTTAATGCCAAACACTTTGTGATTTCAGCTTACCGTCTGGGAATTATAAAGCATTGAAATGCAAAAATGATGATTTTTGTGGGTATTTTTTACGAAATTTTGACTTTAAAAACTCAGGAAAAGTCGAAAAAAAATTATATCTTGTGTTATCTATTATATCGCGATCAGGTACCAAATGTACAACCCTTGCTCGTTTGCTTTGTTCCCAATTGGCAGTTGGGCCCGCCGCCTTCAAAAAGGTATTTTTTGTTCATTTTTTCCATTTTTTAGGTTTGGTTAACGAATTTTAGCTCCAAAGTCTCTCCATAGATTTTAATGAGCGATACCTTAAACGACGCCAAATTAACGCACCTATACACAAAAAAATAGAGACACAAGATATAATTTTTTTTCGACTTTTCCTGAGTTTTTAAAGTCAAAATTTCGTTAAAAATACCCCACAAAAATCATCATTTTTGCATTTCAATGCTTTATATTTCCCAGACGGTAAGCTGAAATCACAAAGTATTTGGGCTCAACTTCTAGCTGTTTTAATTACCTTTTCAAAATAGCAAAGTTCTGTACAACCAGACGTAAATATTAAAGTTATGTGAAAAAAACTATCGCTACCTCTGAAAAAAGCTTTAAAAAAAAATACCAGACTTCAAAAATTCTTCAAAAAAAAGTTCTGCCATAGAAAAAAAACCATAATTCTTTAAAAAATTTTAAAGCCCCATATCTATCAGAAAAAGTCGGTTTGGATCCTTGAGGAAAAAAAAGTTCGGTTTTGTCGAGTAGTGTTATTTAAATGGAATAAATACTCTCCATTAACTATACTAATTTTTTATTTTGTACCAGGGACAATAATGGTTGATAGACATGTTCATTGGATGTTTTGGTGGGTTTATTGATAAATCAGTACTATCAGTTACACACTACAAATTGACTTTTTCTCCCGCTGTGGCCAAAATGACTTTCTATATTGGGTTAATATAATTATGGTTTTTTTATGTTATTTTTTTATTTTAATCATTTATCCATTAATTAACGATCCTATAATCTATTACGCTCCTTTACTCAGTCAGTATATACATTTTTGTCTTTGTTTTTAAATAAAAAAAAATTTTCTTTTTTTTTTTTCTGATATAATTACAATGTATATTCCAACATGTAATTGTGTATGTTCATTTACCTCCGCTAGGTCGCCTGACGGGGGGGGGGGGAGTGGGCGGGGGGGGGGGGGCGGGCGGTGTGGGCCCCACGCTGTGTGGGGGGGGGGGGGCATGCGGGGAGACCTGGAACAGATTGGTTGCCTACCTCCTGGAGCGCACGCGCAAACGGACGACGGACGGACGCGACCGGCATGTTGTATTATCTTTTGGGGTGGACGTTTCCCGTCCCCACAACTAATCCTTACCTTTTTTGAAGGTTAAAATGAGCAATTTTTTTTTTTTTCAAAATTTGCAATGAGTTGTTCTACTCAGGCGTAACACCAGTTGGTTAGTTATCGTTAGTTAGCTCAGAACTATAAAATACTTAAAGGACCGATAAAAATGTGTAAAAAAAAATGTTTTTAAAAAATTCCAAACCTGTTGACTGTGTATGGGCGGGGGGGGCCTGCGTGCGCCCTTTGGCCGGCCGCCGCCGTTTGTGGGCGTGCGGGGCTTGCTGATAAGCTAGTCTTTCGATGAGAAAACTATCAAAAACCATCAAAATCAGTCCAGCAGTTCTCAAGATCTCTGCAGATCTCTGCAGATCTCAACCTAATATA